GTAAACAGGGTGATTAGGGATGCTGAGCTCTACGTGCATTTTGCCGCTCCGCACATTACCGAAGCAAACAGACACCTGCCAGCTGATCATCGATTAAAACCAATTAATTATTCAGGGAGGCCTGCTGGTATGCTGAGGTTTCACATTGCGAAGGGAAGTACTTCGCCCTTAAACGAGATCCACAGATGGAGAAAAAGACAGAGAAATTGCAATGACAAGAAAGAGAGGCGGCTTTTCTACATCATATTTGCAGGGCTGCCAGAATAGCTTAGCTCTATCTTCACTTAAGATCTTGAAGATTTAAGCACCGGTTCAGGTTCCAACCAACACAGTCCCAATGCAAGCTGGAACAATAGAAGCTGATTGGTGCCAGACAAACACAATCAGCGTGGACAGATATGTGTTTCACCAGAACCAAAAGTCCAAATTTGGCACGTTATCTTTCCTACCTATCTCGGAAAGCTTGGATTCCAGTGGCCTGGTAGTGAAAGCAAGATAAATTTCTCCTTGTCAAGACAGATTTATAAGCATGAATGCAACTATAATATAATGTCGCAGACCATGGTTTCCCAATCAGGGGTTTGTGGTGGCATTGCAGGGGGTTTCGCCAGACAACAAATGAATTAAAACTATTAAAACCCTAGCATTTTACTGTCATGTGAGACTTAAACATGTGAGTAAGCGTATATTACTGTAAGTGAGCTAAAACGTTCTCCATGGCTAAAAGCCTTTCATTAAAATCACTTAAAATGGACATGTTGTCAGTAGAAGAAAGCCACAAGAGCAGGAACATCCAAGTGCAAATTAAACAACAAAAGCTTCAAAGTGGGAAACATTCTGTAAGTACAGGCCAAACCCTTGTCCAAGTGTGTGGTATGAAAGCATGAAGCCAGCGTTCTTAAAAAGACACTTGGAAGTAAAACGTGAAAGCCTGGCCAATATAACCAACCAAGGCAAGGCTGTGCAAATTAAAACAGCAACAGAAGCTGTAACAACAAACAAATTCTTCAACAAGCAAAAGATTTACTTAGCGTTTTTACTTGATACTCGAGGCAAATCATTTCAGTAGAAAGGGTTCATCTTACAATATAGGTTGCGAATGCTTGTTGTAGACAATAAACAAAACTGTTACCTTCAAGGCAGCCAGGAACGCCTTCAAAGTCCCACGTTAAGTGCTTTGAAACATGCAGCATTATTCAATGTGTGGATGTAATTTCCACTGAAACAACAAGTCAGGGCGGGGCTTATTATGTGGCTCCTCCTCTAATTTCAGCAAGAGGTTTTTTTTTTTTTTTTTCTCGGGTGGGGCAGTTCAGATTCTAGAGAGGATTTGATTGGACAGAAGATATGACGAGAAGCTGACGTGCAAGATGATGTCATCAAAATTGTTGATCTTCCGCATATATCTTCGAAGTGTTCATTTTTGTCGTTGTTTTGGAGCACACTAGCTTATAGATGACCTTAAGGCATGTAAAAAACAAAACAAAAAAAACAGCACATATGGTTTATGCTCTCTCTCTCTCTCTCTCTCTCTCTCTCTCTCTCTCTCTCTGCTATACTGTCAGAGCAATATGGTCTATCAGGTAATGAACACTATATGTGTTACTAGCAATAATAATGAAACCTTCACAGCAAATACTATAAAAGCCATTTAGACTATCACTTCTTCTGCACTCTCTAACTCTCTTTTCCTCCTCCTCTTTCTCAGATATGCAACGGCTTCCTGAGAACAGGCCACTGATCTGTCCTCCTGCTGTTTGGGTTGACGCGCGCACAGAGAAAAATGCATTCTCAACAACAGGAGAGCGTACGTGTGTAATGTCTGACGTGTTTCTAATAGCGTGCCGTATGTTTGCTATCGTTCAGACCACGAATACAAACCAATTCACTTAGTGACGAGGAGAAAGAGAGAAGGAGAGAAAACAGGGAGATAGTAACACAAAGACCCAAGGGTTTGTTTGTTTGTTTGTTTGTTTGTTTAGTTGCTTCTTGTTATTGATACCATGTTATGTCATTTTGGTATAGAGGATACAGGATTTGATCAATAGACGACGCACGTGAATATTTAATCATAAAACATGCAGAAAACATGAGGAATGTTGATGACGCGTGTGTATTTATATGAAACAGCATTATAATAGAAATAAGGGCAGCGTGATGTTACAGTACTGCCTCAGAGCTCCAGCTCCAACATTTTGCATGCTCTCTCCAGATTTTCCTCCAACGTCGGCTCTAAATTGCGACTCTAAATTGACGACTCTGAATTCCCCCTAGGTGTGTGTGACTACATTTACATGCACATCTATCAATCTGTATTTATCAATCGGAATTTGGCACTATTCTAATTAATATTAATATGATGTAAACGCTGCAATCCAATTACCAGACTCAGATTAAGACAATGTTATTCCCCAAATTCTGATTCCCACCCCTGGAAAATACCGGTATTAATCAGAAATTTGATGCATGTAAACACTAGATGTCGACTAGATGTCGTGGATTTGAACCGATAGGGAAAACTAAGTTGGGCGGTACCTGCCGATAACTGATTAATCAGCTGATAGGTTTTAAAACTGCTACTGAATGAAAACACAACATGTAAAGCAAAATATTGTGTACCGTGAAAATACTGTACTTTTTAAAATAAATCTATCAATATTAATATATATATATATATAAAATATTACATACATACATCCAAACTGAAGTGAAAACTAACACGCCAAATAACAAATAAAAATAGAGACATGCAAAATGTATTTTTTTTAAAAAACACTTCAAACAACAAACCAAAATTTGTCAGTGATATATTTTTTTCACCTCTAGAGGCCGCTCTCGTACTGTATAATGACAGCAAAATGTGGACTGTTGGTTCTAACAGATGCGTAGCTACTCGGGCATACTTACGACGACCATGTATACAGTTATATTCCGATGCCTGTACGCATATAAACATCGCATGAGGAATATGGCTGAAACACGAATATAGATCAACCGGAATTTGATGTGCATGTAAACATAATCAGTGAGTGTGTGAATGTTGGTTCCCCGGTTGGAGTATTTACCCACGCAATACGTGGCTAAGTTATAAATCACACAGCAGATCCTTGTGCTACAAGCTTAAAATATTCAGTCTTGGTATGCCACATTACCATAGGTAGTTATGATTTAATATTATAAGAACGATTATACTGATCTGTGCTCCATTTGATTGTTATTTGATACCGTATTCAGTCGTTCACCAACACATAATCAGTGCTATCAGTATAAGATTAATCTCTCACTCTTACACTCCATTTTTCTAGCAATTATCTTTAACAGAGATAGGAGGCCACTCAATTAGAGGGCTCAAGATGAAAACAAATGGAGTTGAGAAGTAGAAAGTGTGTGTGTGTGTGTGTGTGTTTAAACCAAACGGAGAAGGCTGGCCCTAACTGTAGAATTACAGCAACTCTCAGCAGTCTGCCTTGCATTTTAAAGACCCCAGTTCCTTTCTTTACTGCCACTCATTCTTTCCATCTCCCACTCACTATTTTTCCCCCCATAAATGCAAGACCACCCCATCTAATAATCTTCTTCCCTGTCTCATTTCTCCTCCTCCTCTCCCTCGCGCTCCCCCCCACTGCCTCGGGGAGTCTGATTACAGTTTTAATACTGTCTGCTGAAGCGCTAATACAATAGATGCTCGTCTTAGATTTCCCCAGCGAGAGTCCCCCCCCTCCACGCGTAATATTCTCCAGGAAGAGATGTGCGGCTGGTGCGGCTTTTCCGTGCCAAGCGCTATTTTTCAGCACACCTACTCGAGGTCGTTAGGAAATGGGTGGAGAGTTGCGGGGGGAGGGGTAGGAGGGGAGTTCCTGGACTTAAGTGACTTTATGGAAACTGAGTAGCGTAAGAGAAAGACAGAGAGCTGCTGCGTGCCAATATGGAGCCGCCTGATTGGATTAGACCTAGTTAGAGGGCAAGCCTATGGGAAAGAGGGCGATATATGATACACCTCAATCACTTGAGAAAGAAGAGGGCAAAAACACTCATCTTAATATGAGAGAAATGGACAGATACAGCAATCAAAATCATTCAACTCCCACTGCAAATCAGGTTCATTGTAAAAATGTACCGACTTTCAGCTGTTTGCAAGGAACAGATCAAACAAAAGCAACACAATGAATGCTTCAAGTGTTTTCCCTAAATTCAACTGAAAATGCAACTTATAAAGACTCCAGTTTCAAAATTATTTGACCCCTTCATGGCAAGCATCTTTAGTACTTAGTAGAACGTCCTTTTGCTGTTATGACCTGCTGCAAACGAGATGCAGAGTCAAACCAGCTTCTGGCAGCGTTCCTGAGGAATCTTAGCCCATTCCTCATGAGCAACGGCCTCCAGTTCAGTAATTTTCTTGGGTTTGCGTGCTGCAACCGCCTTCTTCAAATCCCACCAGAGATTTTCTACGAGGTTCAAGTCAAGTTACTGTGATGGCCCTGTATATCTTCCAGGACTTCTTCTGCAACCAAGCCTTGGTTGAATTTGAGGTATGCTTGGGATCATTTTCCTGTTGGAAGATCCAATGACACCCAAGCTTCAGCTTCATCACAGATGGCATGACGTTTTTTCCTAGGATTTACTTTAATGAATCCATTTCGCCTTCCACATGCTGCCGGTTTCAAGTACCAGAGTATGCAACGCAGCCCCAGAGCATCACCGAGCCACCACCATGCTTGACTGTGGACAGTGTTCCTTCTTCATTCTTCTCCAGACACACCGCTGATCCATCCATTCACCCATCCATCCTCTATACCACTTACTCCTTTTGAGGGTCACAGGGAACCTGGAGCCTATCCCAGGGAGCATGGGGCACAAGGCGGGGTACACCCTGGACATGGTGCCAATCCATCACAAGGCACAATCACATACACATTCACACACCCATTCATACTCTACGGACACTTTAGACACGCCAATCAGCCTACCATGCATGTCTTTGGACTGGGGGAGGAAACCGG